AAAGAGTGTTTTAATAATCAAAGGACAAAATAATCAACAAAATGTGTATATCGAAAGATGAATCAATGATTATTAGTATAAATATTTATATTTAAACCTTAAACCCTAAAATCTCATACTCTTCTTCTTCTTCTTGTGTAGTTTCCCTAAAGGATCTCGAAGTTTGATCCTCTTCTTCTTCGTCTCTTTACTTAGAGTTGAGGTAAAGGAAGCTAGAACTTAATTATGATTGATTTATTGAGTTGTATGTGTTTTGGATTCTTCAAATTCATGACCGTGTTGAATTCAAAGGTAGAATCTTGGTTTGGTGCGTGTTGAAAGTTTTGGTGTTCTTGTTGTATGGTGAAGGTGAAATGCATGATTTGATCTCATTAGTAGTTGCATGTTGATAAATTATTAAGAAATGAGTTGTTGATGATGTATAAGTGTGATATATTACATTGCATGCTTGGAAATTTTTGTATTTCAAGCTTAGTTATGTAAACTAATATTATGGCAAGCTCACACTCAAGTTATTTCATCTTAATAGGAATACCAAATTTTATAGTTTAAGTGAAAACATCCAATAAACCATGTTGTTAGGGATTTATATCTCAATTTGGTTGTTGCCCTAATAGGTGTAAAAAGGTTGTATTGATTCGATAAGGTCAAGTCACTTAAAATACTCACATTTGTTGTAGAAGATCTTCGTAGGTGAATGCATGATGAGACATTAATATGCTTGTTGATTATGTGGTTGCATGGCATTAACGTGGTGAAATATGATGCATCAAATGTTGTAAGTTGCTTACTTTTATAAGGTTGTTGAATGTCATGTTGAGATGTTTGGTGTGTGGCTAGGTTGTATACCATGAGGTGATATGTTTATAGCTCTGCATGTTAATGAGTAGTATAGATATTTTTACTTCTATACTTGTCTTATGTTTTATCTTTTTGTACTCTAATTTATCTTTACATGTTTCCTAGTAGTTGTATTAGGATGATCATGTTTACATGGGAGCGGGACAGGGATTAGATTAAGGAGTTAAACATGTGGAGAGTCGTGCTATGAGATGGTGGTGTAGCTGGATACTACTTTTGTATAGGTTTTGGTAAAGTTACTTGATCGACAACCTAGACTTATATATTATAATTTTGGATTACTGTATATACATACATACTTGTATAGTATTTCAGTTGTTATTACAAATTTTTTATTGCATGTATGTATATATTATCATGGTATTTTTCAACAACTATAGATATATGAACCTTAGGTAATTATTTTATTTCCGTTGTTGGTAATTAATTTTGTTTAAGTATAGGACCATGGTGAGTCATTATAATTAACTTATCTTTAACTAATAAAAAATAAAATAAAGGTTAAAGATAAAAATAATTAACATTGTTTTTATGCATAAAAAAAAATATAGACAATATATATAAAAACTACACTCTAATATATATAATTTATATTTAAAAATATATATATTTATTTAAATTTATTTATTATAAATTTAAAACATAATTTATATTTAAAATATATATTTATTTAAATTTTAAATATAATTTATATATTCAAATAAAATATTTAT